TTAAAAAACATGAGCCGATGATACTGACAACAAGCCAAAAATGTTAATCAACATGTGGTATTAGAAGGAATATTTTGTCCTTACTAAATGCAGATATTCTCACTTACTAAAAGCTTGCATTTCTGACCTTTTGTGAAATTCATCACCATGTTGCCTTGAAGCTTGGAGATCTGACTGAAGAATTCAGGAGCAGCATACTGCAGAGCAACATGGTGTGGTAGTACCTAGCAAAAGCTGGAATTGAAGACCAAGTATTCTTACTACATACTTCAGACACTAATTCTGATCTAGGCCTGTGGTGTAAAAACCCATTAGTGAAGTAAATCTTTCCATCTGGTTTCATTTGAAAAATATTAAATGTCATCTGTGATCACTCTGCAATGCAAACCCAGGTAAGCATTACCTTCTTCAGTGAAAAGACTCACATCTGATCCAAACACTAATACAGTTGCATGCACCTGACAGCTGTTGTTTTCTTTCCTGCATTCAGCTATATCTTTATTTTGAAACAACTGACAGACCCCTCATCCTTGTGTCTAATCAACTTCCCAAACTGAAGGGAGGATAATAAAATAGAAGCCCTTGTGCTCTGCAGAAGGTGTAAATTTTCAAGGCTGTTATAGCTGATAGATCAGTCAACACAGAGCCCAAACACTCCGTATTGTAATATGACAAAAGACAGAATTCCTATGCGAGGGGTGTTCAGCAAACAGTAAGGACGTGGCCCTATGCATAGACTGTGGCCGCTCATGTTGCAGGCAACGTATCCAAATCACACCTGTGCCTCAGAAGAAAAATACAGAGTTGCTAGTATGGACTTTAACCCATTTTTCCTTATTCAAAGGACAGCATCTACAGGTTTACAAAGTTTCTGTGAAGTAAAACTCTTACCTTCAAACATATGCCTCTCTCACACATTTGCAGTGTGAGAAAAAAAATGTTTTCTATGTCCTGCAGATACCAAACAATGGAACTGGCAACAGCAATGGAAAGACAGGATCTGAAGTACACCAGAATCACTAAGTGATCTTGATCTATTCCATATTGCCACTTTCTGAATCTAAACTGTCCAATTAAATTAAAGAGTCTAACTATTTAAAAGAAAGGTCTTAAAAGTAAGCGGCCCAAGAAAGAAAAGTGGCTAAAAAACATTTAATTTTTTTTAAGTATCACCTAACACTTCAAGAACACTAGTTTGGATTACGAAGATTTCCCCAACCAAGACTTTGTCAGAACACTAACTATCTAGAATGTGAGGTCAAGACTGTTTAGAAACCAAGCAGAAATTCTTAAGTCACTTCAAGGCCTATTCACATATTCATCTAAAATCTGAAAATTTAGTTGAATTTATTCAAAAACTTACCAAATTTTAGGTTTCACAAGCATGAATACAGGAGCAAAATAGTTTGTATACGCTAAAAACTGTGCAAAGAACAAGAACCCACCCAAACTTTTTATAGTTAAAAGAAACCAATCCCCAACAAAGCAACAAGGATTCTAGCACATCAGGAGTGTGCACTCTCTTGGTATTGCAGAACCCATGTTCCTGTTTAACTTCTCAGAAAACAGACCAAAAAAAAGGAAAAACAAAAATCACTAAAGCTGAATCAGCTGATCATTCAAGAAGAGTTATCTTCCATTTCAGGTCAGAATATGCTCTTCAATACCTGCCCAAGAAATATTTTTCTCTACAACTAAGACAGTACATAGTATCTTGGGATATAATTTAGGGATAAGCTATCATAATAAAAATGCTAAAAATACAAAATTAAACAGGTTATCAATTTTTTATTATAAATCTCTTAGGCCAATATAACACCTTTCTTTTGTGAAGAGACAAATTCAAATTTCTACATCACTTTCTCAAACAATTTTTAAAAATTCTACACAAATCAGGCCAATAGATTGAACAGAACATGTAAGAACTTTATCTAGTGCAGAAGATGCCACTGAAGAAGTGTATTGTGAAAGTCTACTCAGGAGCTTAAAATATGCATTGTAATTGCAGCACATAAGAAAAACCAAAGCGTTTTTATTGTTTCCCCACAAGTTCTCCAAGCAAGAACTGTAAGACTGGTCACATGCCATGTTTTTCACAAGATGCATCATGGCGTAACTTCTTAAATTAAGCGTAGTCTACTGAACAGAGGCCAACCAACACAAGTCTCTGAATACACTAAAATCCTTCCAGACACAATGTAGCAAGAATGAAGCTGAAGAAGGTTGCAGACAGTACCCTGGATTACGCAGCCACAAAAACCTACAAAGCTACGTTGATGCAGCTGTGTTCACATAGTATTTTTAAGAGAGTTAACTAAATGCAAGAACAACACGTATAAGTAAAAGGTGCCTCTGAGTAAAGACGCAATCTTTTTTTAGAGGTTCGACTTGGTTTAGTCATGTTGATTTTAAAAAAAATAAATTAACCAAAAAAAACCAAAACAGACCACTCCTAACATCATAATTATACCAACACAAAAATAAAAGAGGCACTAGGCTGAAGAGCCTCTTCTAGCTATCAAAGATACAGAGGCCAGTGATGCTATTTTGTTACAAGGTAAAACTGCAAAAACAGACCAGAGCATCACAGAAGGTACTCTTTTAGTACCAATTCATTATCAAATGGCATTAGCCATGAATCAAGGATCACACTCTAAGTAGGGAAGGCACTACTCAGGTTCTGGGTATCTGCCCATACAAGTTTCAGGCCATAGTCCCAGCTGGCTCCTACTGACTTCACCCTGAGAAGGTTCTGAATGCTTTCAATAACCTGATGATATTGGAAGGTGCTTCAGATGTTCAGTACTTCTTGAGATCTGCTTCTTAATAGGAAAAAGACATCTCCATCAATGTAGGTCCTATCCAGCTAGAATGAGGAAAAGAACCCTCCTATGCAAGTTTGGGAAGAGCTGGCTGAGGGTAGACTCCTTGCGGAGGTGTACTGACCCCTGAGTTCATGCAGCAACAAGCCTGACCTTGTCTGTCCTCACCTCCTTCCACTACACTCCCTCACTCAGCCCCACTGATAACCAGAACTCTGTCTAATACTCTGTCTCAGCCCTATTGCAAGAAGAAAAAAACTCATCCTTTGCTCTTTGCCTCACACCGCAAGCTCATGAGAAAACCTCACTGCCTGCAGGCTGCAACACAGGTGCCCAGCATGAGAAACCAGCAAAGGGACCTTCTGTTAGTGTTTTCATGCCCATGTATGTGCAAGAACCCAGCATAAACGCACAAAACACAGAATTCCTTAACATGTACAGCTCTTTTTGCTATGGAAATAATGAGACAATTGCTCTAGAGCCATAGCTTAACATTCACACTGTAACTTCAAGTATTGCATAGATAAAGAGTAGGCCCATCTTTACACCAGGGCAGACTGTGACAACAAGCCAAAAACAGGTATTCACAACTAGTTGCCTAACTCACCATCATAATTTTTTTTTTTTTTTTTTTTTTTTTTTTTTTTTTTTGTTAGAGCAGACTTTCTGAGGTGCCTGAACCTCATGATCAATGAGGTTTTTCAGAACTGACACCAAAGAAGGCCACACAACAAAAAAGAGGAAAAGGATCAGCTGGAGAATAAGTGCCAGGGGAAGAAGGGAAAAAAAAAGTAGAGCTCTTTAATCCCCTCCCCCCTTTAGTTAATACAAAAACATGCTCTTAGTTTGCAATGCTTATTAAATTTATTGTTCTCAGAGTGGTTGGCCTTCCACACAACAGCCTGTAGCAGTCACCAAGGTTAATGCAAGCATTTGAAAAAGTACAGAACGGCCAGTTTCATCTGGCCATAAGTTTATAAAGGACAAGAAAATATCTCAGAAACAGCTCCAGGCTCTCAAGGAGCTATGAGGCTGCACTTGATACCCAGCAAGTTTATTATCAGTATTTCATTAACTAGGCTGTAAAAGAGAAGTCTGCCTACCATTTGTGCCACACAGGACTCATTTTCTAGCATCTCTCTGTAGTGTTCAAATTCAGAAAGGCAAGCCTAAAACATTTTTGGGGGTTGCAAGGCTCAATAAAAGAAAATAGATCTTAGCTCCAAAGACACAAGAATAGTGAAACATTAATTTAATGTATTTCTGGTTTAGATAGCTGCCAAAAAAGGAAAAACCAGATACTGCATGCAGCTCTCATTTCAGCATGGCAAATATTTTGTTCATTAAAAAGAGCATCTCCAGAGATTCTGTTGCATTTGATGAGCCTCTCTTGAAATCCTACACCCGTGAGCATCCTGTGTGAAAAAGTACGAATGACAGCGTCAAGATTCTGACTCCAAATACTTCCTGGTTGCACTTGACACCAACAACGAACAGGGATGGCCAGAAGATGCCTGCTCTTCACTGCCCCAGCTGACGCTTCGCAGCACTTCACGGTGAAGGAGCGGGCACCAGTTCACAGCACAGGGCTCGAAGCAACAGGACTGGAGCAACGGGATGGCAACAGGACTGGAGCGATGGGATTGCTCGTTACGCCCCCCCCCCACTGCTAGGCTGAAAAGACCAGGTACTAAAACAAAGCCGCCTGCTCATCAGCCAGCCGCGCCACAGGGAGTTTGCCCGCCGAGGGTGCGCGGGTGAGCGTGCAAACACCAGCCACGATCCCAGCTGAGGTGCACGCCCGCGATACGATCTTTCACAGACGAATGAAGCCAATATTCATTAAAGAGCCATAAACACTACCCCGAATACCAGCTGCCCGGGCGCTCGGCTGATCCCGTCCGCGGTGGCAATTTAGTTCACTGAAGCATGCCCTAAGCTCCAGCATTTAGGAAAAAAACAGCGACCCGGGTCACGGCTTTAGCAACCTAATAGCGGCCAAATGAGCGGGGCCCGGCGGCTTTATCGCCCGTTAACAGCCCGCCGGGCCGGGCGCGGCAGCGCGGCCGGACCCGGCTGCCCCCGGCCCCGGGCTGCCCCCCACACCCCATCGCGCCGCGGACGCCGCCCCAGCCGCTCAGTAAAATGTCCGACGGTCTGCCGCCGCCGGGAACCTACCAGGTAATCCATGTACCGGGGTGGCGCCGGGCGCCGCGCTGCCGAGCTCTCCGGAGGGGCCGCGGGCGCCCGCCCGGCTGACAGCGGCGCTGGGCCGGCGGGGGC